CATCATGCATTTACTTTGCTCAACACACTGACAAAAAGACAATGATATTCTTTTGGGGGTGAGATTCTCATCCAGAACTGCTTTCAATATAATCAAATATTTCTTGTCAAGGTAGAATACAACTGCCATTAAAAGGAGCTGGCTGTGAAAGAGAGGAAAAGCATGGAGCTCAAAGCCAGGATAAACTTTAGATTTTTCTTCAATCTCACCTATTTGAAAGCTTCACAATTTAGGTCTGTTGCACAGTAAGTAGGTCCAATCCAATCTATCATTCCTGGATTAACTGTTGCCCTAAAAACCAAGTTGATTCTTCTGGATAGAGGCTATTTATAAAACATTCCATGGCTCCAACAAGAATGAAATGCTAGAATGCAGAGAGATTGATAGAATAATAAAGCAACCCTAAGTTCTAATCTGTACAAGGACTCAGAAGAGAGATTTCAGTCACATATTCAAGGCCTGAATTAAGAAATAGCACACAGATCGTATTATATTCTGTTAATAAACTGGAAAGCAATATATTCTTGCAAAGCTTGTTTGCCATCAGATTTCAATCTCTGCACATGATTAAAATGAACAAATCACAAACCTGCAGCTTTTCATCATGATGCTAGCATGCCATGCTAAGGTCACTTCAAGCCAATTTACTTACAGCTATCTGAGTATCTAGATCTTTAATTACATCAGAAACTGCTGTGGGGCCATTGAACGGAGAGGCCATTTTCAAAAGAAAAAAAAATGTTCCTGCAAGTAAATAGTCAGAATTAACCTCCATAACAGTTCTTCCCTGGTTGTGAATACTTATACAATTTTTTTTAGAACATTGTGTTCCTGCCTCCAGCCTGAAAAAGAATAAGAGACTTTGACATGCAACAAAGCACCACAACACAGGATGTTCTCCCCTTGTGTCTCCTTTAAAACTGGTCTTATAATCTTGCAGGTTACTGTTCCAGACATTTTGTCAACCCAAGTCAAGGTGACAAGATATTATCACTGACAGGGCAAGCATGAGCTTACAGAAATCAAAGCAGTAGTTACCAAAAGGAGATCCGATGTTCATCAAGTGATTAAGAGCCCAAAATGACTAAACAGCTTTGATTTGGTTCTAAGTGGTTACTATTCATGGGTTTCATGTATTGTTTAATTACAGTAGTGGCCAAAATTGTGGAAACCTTTTGGAAAAGTATATTTTCTAAAACTAGCTAATAACACTTTTTTTGGAGTAGTACCATAAAATTATATATCAATGGAAAGATAATTTAATCAAGAATGTAATGCATTGAAGGATTTATGAAAGATTTGCTATCAGAATAGCAGTTATAAAGAAGAAAAGTGAAATGAGATATGCAAAAATTATTACCAGTTAGTTACCAGTCAGCTAATATTTAGTTGGGTAAACTTTAGCATGAATTACAGCGTTACAATGTCTTCCCATGGAGTGAACCAAGTGTTTTAGTTCTACACCTGTTATGTGAAACCAAGATTGAATGATTGCTTCTTAACTGGGTTTTATTGCTAGGTTGTTTCTGACTAACAAGTTTCTTTAGTGGGCTCCATAGATTTTCAATTGGGTTAAGATGTGGGCTATTCCCAGGCCATTCCAGCAGTAGAATATGATTATCTTGAAACTCAAAAAAAAAGTGGTGTTATTAGCCATCAAACTTCAAAAATACACTTTTCCCAAAAGGTTTCCACACTTTTGTTGTATTTAAGTACAATGACAATAACGATTATACTTATAATTATCAACTATCACAAAATACCCATACCAATAACGCACTCACAGACAATAATGTATTATTTTTTTTCAAAATACATTAAAAAAGGACAAAAGGTGACATAGAGGTGTTTGAAAACCAAAATAACATCTAGGAAAGTGGGGGTTCTTGCTGTCAAGAGGAAGTCTCTATAAGACAGCCAGAATGCTATGGAGGCAGTATTGGGCTGGCGGTACCTGGCATTTTAATTCATTCAATTTATACTCCACCTATCTCACTAGCCAAAGTAACAATAGATAATAGAGTAGAATTCTTTATTGGCCAAGTGTGATTGGACACAAAAGGAATTTGTTTTTGGTCCATATGCTCTCAGTATACATAAAAGAAAAGATACATTCATCATGAGTCATAGGGTACAAATAAGCAATAAGGAAACAATCAATATCAATCGAAAGGATACAGCAACAAGTTACAGTCCTGCAGTCATAAGTGGGAGGAGATGAGAGATAGGAACGATGAGAAGACTAATAGTAATAAAAAATGCAGCCTTAGTGAATGGTTTGACAGTGGCGAGGGAATTATTTGTTTAGCAGAGTGATGGCATTTGAGGGGAAAACTATCCTTATGTCTAGCTGTCTTAGTGTGCAGTGCTCTGTAGCGTCGTTTTGAGGGTGGGAGTTGAAACAATTTATGTCCAGGATGTGAGGGGTGTGTAGATATTTTCACAGCCCTCTTTTTGACTCGTGCAGTATACAGATCCTCAATGGAAGGCAGATTGGAAGCAGTTGTTTTTTCTGCAGTCCTAACTATCCTCTGAAGTCTGTCTCTGTCTTGTTGGGTTGCAGAGCCAAACCAGACAGATACAGAGGTGCAGATGACAGACTCAATAGGTGCATGTATGTGGATAAGTTACAGCCCACACCCACCCACCTCAGGCCAGCCTACCCTGAAGGGTTGTTGTGTAGGCGAAAGAGAGTCCTTGGGTTACACTTAAGATATGGCGCCCACGCCGAACACTAAAGAGCAAATAGGCATCTCTGGACTCCTTCCCTCCGTCGCCTTGTCTTAGTTTAAGCGGAGTTTCATCCCGGCCACCCCTCGGTCTCTATCACGGCCCGTTCCCTCCCTCCCTCCCTTACTTACCGGCGCCTCAGCCGCCTAGCTTCTCATATCGTTCCCGCTCCCTCGGAAGAGCCGCCGCCGCCGCCACCAGCCGCCTTCGCCGTCAGCGGGTTCTCCGCCGACATAACACTTCCGGGGTCACGACCGCGAAGCCACGGAAGTACGGGAAACTCCCTTTTTCTCAGCCCGCGCGCCAACCGGCCTGCTCACACCAACCAATCGGGACGTCCCTTTCTGTCTTTCGTCCGTTGGGCGGGTCTGGCTGTGACTGCGCAAGCGCCAACTCCGGACGACGCTGGTTGGGAGTTGTAGTCCGTAAGGCGAGGAATAATAAAGCTCTTTCTCTGCTCGCAGCACGTGCCTGTCCAGGCGAACCGTAGATTTAAGGGGTTCCTTTGTGCAACCTAAGATTAGTTATTTTGGGTGAACTGACTTCTTTTGGTTAGCTTTTGGTTTCTTTGGTTACTCTTCAGCGCATTGGGCCGACTCGGAAATGGATTCCATTCAGTTCGCAGTCCCAAAGGGGCTTTTTCAGGAAGCAACTGGACTTTCTTGGGTTTTTTTTCTTTTCTTTTGAAGACGTTTCGCTTCTCATCCAAGAAGCTTCTTCAGCTCTGACGTGATAGTGGGGAATGGAAGGATTTATATTCCCTGCAGACAGCGGGACATTTGCATCCTTTTAGAGGGTCAACATGGGATGACTGAGAATCTCTGCAGACTTTTAGCTATACAATTTAGTATGAAGACCTTTTGAATAGTGTGGGAGTAGGAATGGATTTCCAGAGGGAGGGAAATTGCAGACTACAGGAACCATTTGCACCACTCAGGTGACCCTGAGGACACAGATAAACCTGCAAGTGCTTCAGTGACTCCTCTAAAAGGATGCAAATGTCCAGCTGTCTGCAAGAAGTATAAATCCTTCCATTCCTCACTATCCCATCAGAGTTGAAGAAGCTTCTTGGGTGAGAAGCAAAACGTCTTCAAAAGAAAAACCAAGAAAGTCCAGTTGCCTCCTGAAAAAAAAAACCTTTGGGACAACTATGTCCTTGGATGGCTGAGAATCTCTACAGACATTCGATTCGCAGGCTAAGCATTTTGTGTGAACAGAGCAGAGAGAAGGATGAGGGAAAACCAATGGGTTTTGCACTAATATCTTGGAAAGGGAAATAAATACTTGTATCCCTCAAATATAATCCTCGATTTGGAGAAGGGAGATTGGGGTTCCAATGCCAAATGAGCTAGAACTGCGTTTGCACGACCCATTGAATCGCAAACTAAGGCGAGCCCCTTTGGGTTGTGCAGCCCAGGCACACCATGATCGGTTTATGGTGCAGCCAGCCATTGGAATCTTAAAAAGCAGAGCTCATTCAGCCGTGGGTCAGCATATTATGCGGACGTAGCCAGCAATGGTGTATTAACCTTGAAGCAGATTAAGCACATACTTAGGGCAGCAGGCCCAAAGGGGGCCCCACAAAGTTGAGAAAGAAAGAAAAAACCCAGTGAAGATTTCTACAGTATGTACAAAGGAGGGGGGGACGGACTAAGATTTGTCAGTGTTTAGAGCATCAGTGAGCCTTAATCCACCACTGGGAGCCAGGCTCTGCATTTGGGCTGATTTGAGGTTTAATTCGGAAGGTCTCTGTGCATTAAAGTTAAGGCCGACTTTCAATTGGAAGGAAAAACCAGGAAACAAATAATAAACGAACGAGCTTTACTTGGAAAGGAATTGCCTTGTACTTCGGTGGAATTGGTTTATTCCAGCAAAGGTGCTTTATTGTTTCAGTCCGGGCTGGTGCACCTATCAACTGAAGTTAATTAGCAAAGCTAATTAATCCCCTTAATTACTAAAGCTAATTAATCCCCTCTGCTTCCTGCGTTAAATCTGCCTTTGACAAGGTCTGTATTGAGCGCGGAAAACTAAACTCCCGGGCTTTCTACCCAGAATTCTGCGCGTCAATTTGCATATCTGCTAGAAAAAGGAGACATGTTTGCTCTATTTTAAAATGGAATCGGATTTGGAACCGTCGTGAGGGCGGTTATGAAGTCAAACCTCCGCGGAGTTGACTGGGATGGCTGTAGTTGGGTGGCCTCCTTCGCTGTGACCTGAAGAGGCGTGATGGATCAATGGCAGCGGCGCTCGCGGAGCGCGCGTTTAAAAAAGGGCTTCTGCTGTGTTTAGCACACGGAGAGGGGTGGCTACGGCTTTCTCCTTCCCGTGCGGAATCGCTATCAAGAGATTTCGGAAGCATAATTTTTGCGAATGGGGTAGCTGATAACCGCTTGTTCCGGCTCCCCGACTTAAGGCTGTGGAATAGTAGTAATAGTTTCGGACTAGTCCGATTTTGCGGATCCTTACGTTCGCCGAAAGAGGAACCGTGGGGAAAAAGCGCCGAAAGGTTGAAGGGAAAAGGTAAGGCTGGCCTCGGAGGATGAGGATGTTGTTGTCCGGTGACGTGCGTAGGGTTGCAAAGCGTCGGGCTGGGCTGAACAGTAGCGATTCTTTGCGGAGCTTCCTTGTTATTGTCTCACTCCTAGGACCGAGTTAGAGGCACTGGAAAAAGTGACTTCTAATTGGTCCCCCTGCTTGGAAGATCTTGAAAAGTGACTGTAGCACTGCTTCTCACCCTTATGACTGCCGAAAGTTATTCAGAATAGAACTGGGAAGGACCTTCGAGGTCTTCTAATCTAGTCCAACCCCCTGCTCAAGCAGGAGATCCTGTACCGTTTCAGAAAAGTGACTGTCCAGTCTCCTCTTTAAAATATCCAGTGATGAAGCCACCAAAACTTCTGACGATAAGCTGTTCCCACGATTAACAGTGTTAAAAGTAACAACTAGCCCTCACGATTACCATTGTAGCAGCACCCCCACAATCTCATGATTAAAAATTTAGGTGCTTGGCACCTGTCACATCATTAGGACATATGCAGTGTCCTAGGGTCCCATGATCACCATTTCCAATCTTCCCAATTGGCTTCTGACAAAGTCAACAAGTCATATGACTGCATCTGTGTGAACATTAAGCTAGACTGGACTTGGTTAGTACTTGTATTAGAGACCACAAGGGTGTTCTTGGGCTGTAAACTAGTCTGAGGAATTGAGGGGGGGGATTCCTGAGGGAGCAAATGACTTCTCTATGTTGGCCATCGGATGCTGTCATCAGGGGGTGAGCTTGATTCAAAAGTGTTTTTTAGTTTTATTTTATGGGACAAGCCCTGCCTTTGTAGAAAGCTCTTGAATCTGGGTTAGGATGTATTTGCCAGTTCCTGAGCTCAAGGAAGGCTTTCTTCTGAAATACAGCATCACCGCAGTAAACCTCACAGTGTAAGAAGAGGTGGTAATGGAATGGAATAATCACTCAATTACCTCTTTGGAAAAAAAAAACACCACCTGGGTGTTTTCCTTTGTTGTTGACTAATGCTGGCCAGGGCTGTAAGGAACTAGTTGAACCATATATAACTGTTACTTTTAAAGCAGGGTGCATGATATATAGTGCTAGAATCCTTGAGGGATCCCCCTATCTCACATCATTTATATACCAATTCCTATCATCAGTCCTGCAAACTTTCCAGGAACAAAACAGAGAAAGTATTTGCTTGCATTTAGAATAGAATAAATAGAATAGAATAGAATAGAATTCTTTATTGGCCAAGTGTGATTGGACACACAAGGAATTTTTCTTTGGTGCATCTGCTCTCAGTGTACATTAAAAAAAAGATACATTCACCACAAATTATAAGGTACAATACAATGATAGTCATAGGATACAAATAAGCAATCAAATCATACTAGGAAACAATGAGTATAAATCGTGAGGATACAAATAACAAAGTTGCAGTCATAAGTGGGAGGAGATGGGTAATAGGAACGATGAGAAGACCAATAGTAATAGCAATGCAGACTTGGTGAATAGTTTGGCAGTGTTGAGAGAATGATTCGTTTAGCAGGGTGATGGCGTTTGGGAAAAAAACTGTCCTTGCGTCTAGTTGTTGTGGTGTACAGTGCCCTATAGCATCGTTTGAAGATAGAAACAATTTATGTCTAGAATGTGAGGGGGTCAGTAAATATTTTCCCCTCTTTTTGACTCGTGCAGTGTACAGGTCCTCAATGGAAGGCAGATTGGTAGCTGTTGTTTTTTCTGCAGTTCTAATTATCCTCTGAAGTCTGTGTCTGTCTTGTTTGGTTGCAGAGCCAAACCAGACAGTTATGGAGGTGCAGATGACAGACTCAATAATTCCTCTGTAGAACAGAATCAGCAGCTCCTTGGACAGTTTGAGCTTCCTTTTTAGTGGAGTTTTTGGAAAACTTATCTTCAAAGGAAAGGAACTCAGTTCTTTGCCTAAACTCTGAAACCACCATTCCTGCTGCCTCCTGCCCTTAACTGAATTGAAAGCACAAACTGCCATACAGTCTATGGAGAGAACGGAGAAGAAGGGGTTACTGTCCTGAACCTATCAGAATAAGACGGGGTGGGGCTATGGCCTCTTCTCTAACAGCTTTTCCTCCCATATCCACCACACTTTTACAGCTTGGCTTTCCTTTCTTCCCCCAGCATTAGGAATTACAGGGTGGAGTTAATTTTTGGAATGACGCGTGCGCAGAGCCAGCTTTCCCAAAGGGTTCGAGCTGTAAAGGACTAGTTGAAGTGCCGAAGCCGTCTGTAAAGGCAAAAAAAGAAGGTGAGTTTGGGTTTAACAGGCGCCTAAGTCGGCGGGTGACTGCATGGAAGAGGGAACGAGCGTCTTTCAATCTGTGGGGAAACCAATTGTTCTTACATGGCGGATTTGGAGTGGCTGTAAGAAAGTTTTCGGAAGGCTTGGATTAGCCGCGCTGAGCCAAGGGACAGTAGTGGTTAACCTGGTTGTGAAAATCCAGCCCTCTTTTGGCAATAAGTTCAATCAATGTTAGGAAGCCAAACCGTGTCGAGAAGCTGCAGTTTGAGGATCTGGAAAAGCGTTCGGGACAGGAAGTGCATGCCAATAGATCTAGTTGTAAATTATTCTTAATACAAAGATTAATTTTCAAGCAGGCGCGGCGAAATGTAGGGGAATGCCTAGGCTTTATCCGTTCTCTTGAGCTGCGAACTTCATTCATCCTGATGAAGTGACATTAAAAAAAACAATTTCCCTTGATTTCTCTGCTCTAGTTAATCGCTCACTTCGTTGCCTTCCAACCCTGCCAAGTTAAGCAGGAAATTCTCTCCATTGTGTCTTCTTGTTTCTTCATGCAGCTTCCGTGTTGGTTGGTAGTGAGGGGAATAGCAGTCCAACAGAAAAATATTCTGCTGGGAAAAGCTGTTTCACTTTAGTTTTTTATTTATCATACTGTTTGTTCCAGTTCATACATGGAGGTGGCGTTATTGTTCTTTTTTATTATTTTATTGTTATTAAATAATATTAAATTATTATTAAATTATAAAATATTTTATGTATTACTTTTTATTATATTATTGCTATTTTTTTATTCATTGTTGTTGGTCTTCGTGGCGTTTGTTAACAATAGGCTGCATTTTTTGTAAACTACCGAAATAATAGATCTTTGCTGGCTACATCAAATGCTTCAAACCAGTCTCAGAATTTTCAGATGTGTTAATGTGTTGGTATTGAATGGAATAGAATAGAAATGGAATTGAATAGAAATAGAATAGAATAGAATAGAATAGAGTAGAATTCTTCATTGGCCAAGTGTAATTGGACAACAAGGAATTTGTCTTTGGTGCACATGCTCTTTGGTGCACATGCTCTCAGTGTACATAAAGAAAAATAAAATAGAATACATTCATCAAGAATAATAAAATACAACACTTAGTGATAGTCATAGGTTACTAATAACCAATCATATTATACTGGGAAACAAAACAATATACATTTTAAAGATACAAGCAACATGGTTATAGTCATAAGTGGAAAGAGATAGGTACTAGGAAGGAACAGAATAATAATAATAATACAGTCTTAGTAGATAATTTGACAGTGTTGTGTGGATTAGTTGTTTAGCAGAGTGATGGCATTTGGGGAAAAAACTGTCCTTGCGTCTAGTTGTTGTGGTGTACAGTGCCCTATAGCATCGTTTGAAGATAGAAACAATTTATGTCTAGAATGTGAGGGGGTCAGTAAATATTTTCACAGCCCTCTTTTTTTTGTAATCAATGACAGCAGTTCTTACAAGCTATGATTTATTTATGTCAGTATCCATGTACATTCTGTACTTTGAATCAAAGGACATGCGTGTCTTTACTTGTTTCTCTTTAAAATTCAAGAAACATGTTAAAGTTGCTTAAGCATTTGTGTTTTGTACTGTGAAACAGGACTAAAATAGATGGGCGATGTGTAAGAGAAAATATCTCTCTATACATCAAATTCAACAGATAATTACACTTGAGGGAGGTATATATCTTGTAATGTGGTTTTAGGATGTTTTCTGTATTTTGAGCATTTAAGCCTGCTCAATAGAGATCAGGCTCTAAATCTCAATATAGATAAATTTCTTTTTAAAAAAAGAAATCTTTTTAAAAAGTTTTAAAAATAGGTGTTACATTTCAGTTGCAAAACAATTGTGGTTTTACACACAATAAATTCCTAGAAATAATTTGGAAATCCAATCAGTTCCATATTATGAGAAAATGGCTATTGTTAAATCAAAGTTAAACTTGTACTCTCAGTATTATATTTTATTCTCTTCGCATATACTCACTATATACGATTTATGTTCACTGAATCTTATTGGATGACTTTGAACTAGTCATTCTCAGAGAGAATGTGCCATGCCAGTTATAAAATGACAGGGTCCAACAATTTAAACATTTTAGTAATAATTCTACAATTTGTTCTATTGGTCCTTAGCTGTCCCTATTCCTAAGCCTTGGCTAATGAATGCCCCAGGAGTTATCTAATACACATTTCATTTGCTGCAGGCCTTCTCTATTTCTAACTTTTAGCTGAGGTCTGCAACTTGCCTAAAACTTGTTACTTTTATCAGCTTTCTAGCTACCCACAATTGTTACAAGCTTTACAGATGCAAATTTCCTGTGGACAAGCATTCTATGTTCTTGCCAGACAGACTCCACAATTAGAGTCTTCCTGATTTACTTTCAAGTGTGTGCCAGAGGTGGTATTCAGCAGGTTCTGACCAGTTCTGGAGAACCTGTAGTGGAAATTTTGAGTAGTTTCTGAGAACCGGTAAATGCTGGTTCTATTCTCTGCCTCCTGTGTCCCAGCTGATCGGGAGGAAATGGGGATTTTGCAGTAAATCTTCCCCTGGAGTGGGGAAATCTGACAGGTGTGAACTCTATACAATAAGGTTTCAATTAAGATAGTTTCTTTACATTTATTTTCATTGTACTATTACTATCTGGCTGAACTGGTCCAGCAAAATATTGAATTTCTGAATTCCCAGTTTATGTTAGGAAATGGTAAGTGTGGTTTATATTTCCTCTTTCTTAAGCTACTCTTCTTCAGCTATGATTCTGAGTTGTTGAGAAATGTCAGTATCCTCTTTTAATATCAAGAGGAAATTTTCTTTTTGTCTTTTGCTAGAAACTTCAAAGAGTGAGTTCTTCTTATATATTTATTTAGTAACTTATATAAGTAGCAATCCTTCATCTATTAAACTAAGGTGTTGGTATCCATTTGAAATAAAAAACTGCAATTGAAACAAGATTATCCAGAAAATTGTTATCCAGGAACTACTTAAAGGGCTTAATGGAAATCATTAATCATTTCAGAAGTGAAACAGACTTGACAAAAGCATAGCATAGATTGTTTTTATTTCTAAAATGAAAATATGATGTTATGTAGATAGTCATATTAAATGAAATGTTCAAAAATAGAACGATAAGATCTGCATTATCAGAAGAGATAAACCTGTAATCCGATTTGTACCACTTAATATTTCTTGATTTAAAACTGTTTTATTCCATTAACAAAAGTTGTTTCTCTTTTCCTTTCAGCACTTTCTAGAGAAAAGTGTTAAACATGAATAGTGGTAAGTGCATATTATCTATCTGTGCGCCATAATAAAACTTACCATTCACTTTGAAAAATGTGTAACGCTGTATAAGTTCCTTTTTAACTCTGTGGGTGAAATATTTTTTTTGCATGTCCATTGCCCAACTTGTGTGTGTGTGTGTGTGTGTGTACACATACAATATATCACAGAAGTGAGTACACCCCCTCACATTTTGTAAACATTTAAGTATATCTTGCTAGCAGTTTAGACATTAAGGGCTGTGTGTTGCATTAATTGAGGGGACAGCACATTTACACTGTTATGCAAGCTGAATACTCACTACTTTACATTGTAGCCAAGTGTCATTTCTTCAGTGTTGTCCCATGAAGAGATATCCTTAAATATTTACAAAATGTGGGGTGGTGGTGGTGGTGTCACTTCTGTGGTGTGTGTGTGTGTGTGTGTGTG